CAAATTTAAATATTAAGTTACCGTAAATAAATAATTTAATTAAATAATTACAGTACTTGGAAGTTTCAGAATTAATTTTTTTCCCGTATGTATTAAAATCCAAACAGAAAATTAAAAGTAATGCTTTTTTACAGTATTTTAAATTCTTTAAAATTTAGTTTTCTAAGATGGGCAAATACATTTGTAATCCATCATACTATATAGGAGTTATTGCAGATCCTTTTCCATTTATAAAACTTGCCAAAAATTTGTCTGTGACCCAAATGAACAGTTCTAGCGAGAAAAAGTTTCGTTGTTAACCGATTTCGACTGTTGCAAAATTATTCTAAACATAAATATAGCTTTAGTTTAGTCCAAACGCGAAATTTGCCCAGAACTATTAATTTAGTTTTGGCATTTTGCGTTGTTTCACATTTCAAATGTTATCGCCCTATATTATATTTAAAGAAATTAAATAATGAAGAATCTGCATAAATGTATGCATGTTTCTCTCATTGCAATAAAACAACGGTACCTAGAGCCATCCAATTTTGACTAACGTAATCCTCCTGCGAATAGGCGCATATGGAAGCCCAAATTGGAATTTTATTATCGATTTCATATTTTGTAAAACTTTAACAAATATTTGATTAACAAACTCAAGGATTTCAAAGCGAGCAACGGCAACACTGTACCGAAAAAAAAAAAAAAAAAAAAATTATCTCGAGACTGTGCATCGGAAATGCTAATGCTCATTTTAAAATTATTTCGCGATATTGTTGAATTGAATTTGACGGTTTGAATGCGAAGATCATTATATTTAATAAATAAAGGTAACACACAAAATGTTAAAAGAACGCCCCTTTGACGTAATTTTAAATCTGAAACCTTATTTATTTCAAAAACCAAAGGGCGAAATCGGAAAGACATAAAAAATTTTTGACAATGTTTTTGCTCCAGTTTCCTCTATATACTGCGATTATCGAGTATTTTACCCGATGTATTCAAGCTCTTGCAAATAACTGCTTCAAATGATAAATGATTCTGCCCCGCTAGGTCTTACTAAGGGTCAGGATTAAAGCTAAGGGACAATGCTTTGAAAATAAGAGCAATGCTATGTATAAGAGAAGAGCAATGCATTTTGAGGTGGAAAATAAGAAATATTAATTTATATACCCTTCTAAAAAAATTGCTTGCGGTATTATCTCCTATAAAAAGATCCATGATTATTCTGAATTCAATTTCTCCTCGAGAATTTTGATTTAAAATCCGCCATTATTAGCAGCCCCTGTATTATTAATATATCTCCAAGGCTGCTTTAACGGGTAATTTTTTTTACAATCTGCACATAATCAAAACCGTGCAACTAAGTTCTTTATGTATTTTTTAATCAGGTTAGGAAGGCAGACTCCTGATTATGTCAGCATAGTTTATTATGGCCAAACGCAGTAGTGCTATCTGCCTAATAAGGGAAGGGATACCTTCACGGAGGACTTTTTAAAGAAAACTGGCTCGTATATACGTTACACATATGTCCAATATAGCACATTTATCTTAATTCCCCTGCTTAGGGTCAACTGGCCTTTTCGTATGTCTTCGAACTTTTAAATTGGTTTCTTAATACTAAGCACATATTTTGGAATTTCCAAACTCAAAATTATTACAATCTACACATAAATTCCTAATTAGATGGTAGCTACTCTCTCTATGTACACGCTCGTATCTCATCGTACTCATATCTCACACGTACTCTTATCATGATACATATTCGTGTCCTCTTATCATGGCAATAAAGAAGTCACATTAACGTTAAAGCTCCCCGCCAATATTAAGATGCACGAGGAAACCTGACTTAACATTTTTCCTTAGACAGAAGAGCATTCAAGAAGAATATCGGAAGTTTTACGACGATGGTGTGGTGTATTTAATTATGGCAAAGCACACTAGGGCTATCTGCCTAAAGGGAGGGATGCCTTCGTGGAGGACTTTCTAAGAGAAATTGGCTCGTATACACGTTGCACATGGGGAAAACCACGAAAACACCCATGCAGCCAGCCCGTTCGCGGGATTCGAACCTCGGACCGAACTACCAGTGTTCAGCGACATTACCGCTCGGCCGCCTGGTGGGCCAGTTTTACGACGGTTTGTCATTAATATGAATGACGTTGTATAAGAGGCATGCCTGCTGTTGCTCCTGGAACCTTAGATTACAGGAAGCTAGTAGGACTACCTTGAAGTTTTGAAAGATTGTAATTTCGTATGCATTAAAGATTGATGTAAATTTGTTTTCTGTGGTAGAGTTATAAAATTATGTGTGTTAATTTTATAACTATTCCAGACTAGCAGTTGAACCAGTAAAGACTTCCAGAGTAGCAGTTGATTTTTTAATAAATATACAATATTTATATGATTTTACTATAGGATCTTGTGCATACTTCCTATATACAACGCGCATGAATGGCCTATCAACCAGGCAGGAAAATGAGACTTTTTACGATAATACATTTGTATTTTAATTTTGCAGAGTTTCTGAAAAATTGATGATACGTGTTAAATTTTTAACTTGAAAGATTTCTCTTTCGAAACTTTTACTTGCAAAATTTTAACTAAAATGATTTCCATAAAATCTGCAATTTCCTCTTCTAATATTTTTACTGTTTACTTCTGGAATATAGTTGTAATACTTAATTTTTAATGTATTAGCGCTTTATGCAGAAATAAAACATTACATTTAGGGCAAACGCATAGTATTGAAACATTTTAACAGGTTTAGCAAACCCATTAGATTATAAGACATGATTTATGATCAGATGAGATCCTAAAGTTCAATTTTTGGTACTTACGTATTTTCGCAACCACCTTGGCGCGGCATGGTGAATTTTACAAAAGAAAAAGAACTATTACTTTTATTGTAAAAAATCATATCTTAATGCACACATATTACTACATTTATATCTACATTTCAACTATATATTTATTCCAAAACTCTATCAGTACACCTAGTTACAAACGAATTTTGGTGTGAAAATTTCGTAGCGATCGCTTTGAGAAAACTCGAAGCATTGTTCCTTTAGCGATTTTGCGACAAAATAATGTATTCCTGCAGAAATTTCACCTCTTTATAGGAAAATCCTACGTAGGCAAATTTTTTAAATCGAATTTAAGACAAATAATCATAATTTTTTTATAAAAGTTGGAATAAAAAAAAAAAAAAAAAAAAGCATACGAAAATGGCGAAGTTGGAAACTGAATTTTTGTCATGCGCATGGCTGCCTGAATAATTGTTATGTGCATGGTTACCACAGCTTGATGTATTGTGAAATTTTTGACAATTTCTACTAAGGTTGTTGCGACAACAGCGTAAGTACCCAATTTTTGTTTATTAGAGATTTGTTTATCCTGAAGTTCCATTATCTAAATTTATTCAGATTTTGTTAATCCAAAAGTTGAATTTTTGTTGGAAATTTTCTGAATCAAATAAAAACAAACGCTGAACAAATCACGAAAATGAACATTTTGTAAAGCTCTGGTTTGCAAATTAAAAACTAAACTATGAGCTAAATATTAAATCACCTGTATATAACTCAAGTTCTAGATGATAAACAAATTTCACCAGAATTCAAAAGAAAAAGATGTGATTTTAACATATCGAAAGCATAAAATCAACATTTCAACCCAAACTGACAACTTTAAAAGCGTACGGATGGATACCTTGAGTGGTTTACAAGAGGGTGAATGATTAACACCGCTAAACATTGCTATTGTTGATCCCAGTTTCAGTTCACGACGACTGAAGCGACTACATGTAAAAAGCAACTGCAATGTAATGAATATTTTAGTAGCAAATATTATTATACTCAGGTGGTAACTTATGTGGTAAAGCAATAACCTTGCCGTAATTTCGCGACTAAGATTGAGTGTTTAGATTTCCAAACTATCGATATTTATTTTAAGACGGCAAGTATTTTCAACAAAACAGAAGAAAACATACTTTAGTAATTTAAAATGCTTATTTTAATTATTAAGTAAGGATTATATGGTGCATTAAAAAATAAAACACTTTTTGCGAAATCCTGTTTTGGAGTTACTTTTTTCCATGGACCTTGGCGCAGTGTTAATTATGCGATTGTTCCTTTCGGCAAAAAATTTTGAATTCCTGTAGTTACCGCAGTTTCTTTGCTGCAAAAATTATACAAGCGAATGCTTGAAAATTGAGTTTAAGGCTAAAACATTCGATAAAAAAAAACTTTAAACTCTGAATACAACAAAAAGAAACGCGCAAAAATGGCAACGTTGCTTGACTAAAGAATTGTTGAGCAGTTGCCCGAAGAATCATTATGCACATTCTGAAATTTCGGTGACTTCTAAGATGGTTGCGATAATACGCAAGTAGCCTAAATTTAACTATAAACGATCCTTAAATTTATTTTATAAATATATCTTTAGTTATAGTTTTACGGGATGAATGCTTAACCCTGTATAGTAAATTTATAACGTTCAGAGCATCTTTTTGACGTTGTTATTTTCTTAAATCCGTCCACTACAGATGATTACGCAGTCTTGCTGTATGAAGGATAGAGTATTATTTCGATTATCTCGGTAATCTTTTAAGCAGAAGTGTGAATTGAAGTGTGAACTAGAGAATTTAAGCAGAAGTGTGAACTAGAGGTTTTGGAAGCCTGAATAGAAATCTATTAAATTCCAATCCTGTGTCATGTTGCGTATAAACTTCAAAATGAAATCAAGTGTATTAAGTTGTGGGATCCATTTACTCTGTCAGATTCTCTTTAATGATTTCAGCAATCGCATAGTAGTATATGCAGCTAATTATTTCATAAAGATTCCGAAATAACGTAACAAAGATCTTGTAACATGCTTTAATTTCTAAATACAAACAAGGTAGTATTTAATTAAATTGAATAACTTGAATAACTGTAAAAATGTATTATTAAAATGCATCATATATTGTTAGAAATTTAAATATTAAAATTTATTAATTTCAAAAATTGTTTCTATTACAGGTCCGCAATAATGAAGCAATGCAGAATATAAGACAGATGCAATGCAAGGCCTATGCCTATACATGTGACATCAGTAATGAAAATCAAGTGGAAGAATTAGCATCGAAAGTTCGGCGAGAAGTAGGCGATGTGGATATTCTGATTAACAATGCGGGAATTCTGCCAGGAAAGCCTTTACTTGAACTGTCCAACAACCAGATAATGAAAACACTTCATGTCAACACGTTATCACATTTCTGGGTAAGTGAAACTGAGTTACATATAATATTCCGGCACTTCTTTGTTATCCCGCTCCCCGAGATTGAATCGCCAACCAGCCGAGATATCTCGCCAAGATCTGTCTGCCTGTTCTTATACCTCACCACGTAATCGTATATTAGCACCATGTTACATTTCTGCTCTCGCCGCTTATTCTTATATTATTTATTTTTGATGAGATTTTCGAATTTGCATTGTTCATTAAAAAATATATTCCCTGCCTTTTTTTTGTGTGTGAATATGACGTAAACAATCTTTAATTCACCAAGTAATGAGGTGAATGTCATATTTTTTTAAGAAAAAAACTTTTACCTAACGAAACGAGTCCGCTAAAATGGCCATAACATGAAACTTTGTTTACGACGAAACCATTTGGAGATGCAATGTTAAAAATTGTAAAAAGAATGGCCACCGTGGTCGGAAATTGGTTTGGCGGTTCCAGAATATCATTCGTCACTGCTATTAGATTTATGTATTCTTGGCTGGAGGAGTTGACGTCCATGAAAGAGTGTAACAAACAGCTTAATATGTGTGACTGGAACAATTACATGCGATAAAATAATAAGGCTTCTTAAAAGTATTCTTAGGAAACAATACGTGAGTATTTTTATTATATATTGTGTTTATTTTTATATTCGCGCTTGGCGAAATTATAGCCGAGATCCTCAGATTTCCTAGGACGTGTAATCCTCAAATCTAAAATCGCCAAGTATATTTGGGGGTTGCTATAACATAGAAGTACCAATTTTCTTAATATAGGACTTTCTCAAGAAAATGGATTACTCCATATTATCTGGGAAGTGTCAAAAAAAAAAACAAATTTCATATTTAAAACTAATTTCATATCAGATTGGCCATAGCAACAAATAACTGCTGTAAAATGCCTTCATTAAAAAGTAATCACTGCAACTAGACTTTTCTCAATCCACATCATCACTGAAGGATTTTCATTGCACAAAGTAAAAGCTCTTTCATTTATTATTATTAAAGGCTCTCTTGAGGAGTATAGATATGATGTGTTTAAAGTCGTTCAATTATCAAGGTTTAAAACCAAAGTACTTATGCCCCTTTTTCAGGCTCAGGTCTAACCATGCGAAAATTTTTAAAAAATTTGACGTAATCTATATGATGCTTTTTCGTGTTAAAATAGAGAAATATGTCTCCAAAAGTCAAGTCCCTCAATGCCACAATTGCCACAATTGCCAAAAGTGGCACCACTCATCGGAAAATTGTTATGTCGCATCTAGATGAGTAAAATGTGCTGGTTTCTACCGTGCTGGCGATTGTGACATTCAGGGACGTATTGAGACGCCCAAGTGTGCCAACTGCCTAGGCCCTCATACAGCCTCGTATAGGTGGTACCCGAAATTTTCTACCTATAAGAAGAAATCAAATGTTAACTTCCACAAAAATTCAAATGTTAGACCCGGACTTAGTTTTGCACAGGCACCCATTCAGCCTATTCCAACAGATAATAGGCCAACAATTAATATGCCTGCCACGACCAATAATGAGAATTCGTCCGCGGTCACCACTGCTGCTGCACCTGTTCGTGTTAATTCCACCCCTAGACCTCACGTTTCTAACATTAATAATCAGTTATCTGAAATGTCATCTTTATTTACTGTTATGAATGAATTCCAAAATGAATTAGGCACTAATATTTCTGTTATAATTCAAATATTTAAAAAACATGGCCCAGAGAAAAAATGCTGGTACTTATATGGAGAAAATTTATATTCTGTATTTAGTCCTCGAAGAGGTGAACGGGTTAGGTAAACGCAGCTAATCATGTATAGTATTCTTAAAATTGTGACATGGAACGCAAATGGTCTGTTGCCAAAATCAGGAATTCAAATTTTTTAGATCAGTACAGTCCTGAGTTATTCCTCAGGAATACAAGCTTAGTCTACTCAATATTGCAACTATGCTCATACAGATGGGACAGCAAGAACTAGTCAATGTCCTGGAGGGAGACTTATTATCCTAATTAAGCGATTCATCGCTCATTACCACAATACATTGCCACAGCTTTTAGCCCCAGAGGCCTTAGCTATCACAATGACTCCACTCACCTCACCACCAATGACTCTTATCTCCTATGTATCATGTAGCCACAGATCACGAAGGATTATTTTGCAAGATTTTTAAGCCTTATCCCGTCTTAACAATGGAATCATCTTCGGAGGAGATTTTAACGCACATCACAGCGAGTGGAACTGCAGAAACGATACTTTCCTAGGACGTGTAATCCTCAGATTTGTGCAGGCGGCCGGTTTTACCATCGCAGCTCCACAAACCGCCAACACGTTACGATCATGCTTCAGCATCAGTACTGGACTTCTTCATGTTAAGAGGCATCGAGACATGTTGAAATTCTGAGTGAACTTTACTCAGTTCTCATTGAGCTTGATGTCGCTGTTCGTAACACACCACTCAGTAAGGCCTTTATTACTAATTGGTTTCGTTACACCAAAGCCTTAAATAACACCGCACTATTTATACCAACCCCACAGACGAGTGATGAGTTAGATGACTTAATTAGAACTTTCACTGCAGATATGAAAACTGCCTTGCAGCAAAACAATACTTGTGCCTTCAGCCGTCCCAAAAAGTGCAATAAAATACTGACAAGCCTAATCAAAAGAAGAAATGCTGCTAGGAGACAGTGGCAGCGATCCCGCTACCCACCCGACAAAGCTCTGCTGAATCGGCAAGTCAGGTTCCTGACACAACAATACGCTGACAAAGACTGGGCTAACCACCTATCATCGCTGTCTGGGGAAGATAACTCCGTTTGAAAGACTACCTCAAAACTTAAGATGCCACACCCCATTCCGCCCTTAACTGGCCCTGACAGAATCGCTTACACATAGATTGAGAAAGCTGAGTAGCTGGCCGAACTTCAGGTCTTAGCTGGCACGCTCCCACTCGACCTAAAAGCAGAATTAGAAAGATCAATCTATCGACTTCTACATTACAAAGAGGACCTTCACACTAAAAAAGATTTACATCTATCATATGCCAGCATAGAAAGCTTCCAAGATTCCCCTAACTTACACCCAGGAGATCACCCATCCTTTCCTGGTGCAAATCGCCACCTCAGGACAACAAAGAGAGATTTTTTCTGACGGTTCAAAATTTCAGGACGAGTAGGGGCAGCGTTCACGGTCTTTTCGAACAATGAAGAAATTTATCAAGCACAATTCCGTCTAAGCGATCATGCTTCAGTCTTCCAAGGCCGAGTCCCTAGCACTCAAAGAAGCAGCACTATGGTTAGGTACAACCAGCAGCTCACACTTCATTCTTCACAGATAGCATGAGCGTTCTGAATGCGCTGAATTCCTTTCCTCCAAAACATCCACAACGGCAGCACTTAGAGAGATCTTCTTGACGTTAGGCTCTTCCATACCTTTAAAGATCAACTGGATAAAAGGACATACCGGGCAGAAAGGCAACGAACGAGCGGATGAACTAGCTAAGACTGCAGCTCTTAAACCAGAAATTGACAAGGAAGTTCCGCTTCGCGCAGAAGTTGCAAAAGGCTCCTCAAGACAGCATTTCAAGAGACATGGCATCACGATGGCAGGAAGAAGAGACAGGAAGATTTACTTACAACATCTTCCAATACCTTCTCTCAAGAGGCTGAAATGCAACGACTCTTCCTCCAAGCCTGTACCAACCACGGGAAATTCCCAGCGTATTACAGACGTTTCCTCAGACGGGACGTCAACTGTTCTTGCGGTTTTCGCGGAGAAGACGCGGACACTTCATTACCTGCTCTCCTGCCCTCGACAGAGCACCTTCGACAGCAGTTCTTTCCTTCCTTCCGACTACATCACATATCCTGTGAATAGACTGTTCACGGACTATTACTGCAACAAGGGCATCTTAGAGATAATGAAGCAAGTGAATGAAAATAATTATATCCAAGAAACTACAGATTAAAGTAAAATGTAGAAAGGCGGCCTAACCGTCAGATTGCTAGCAATGAATAGGATAACTTCCTAACCCTGTAGTGCCATTAACTCAGTTTGGCGGAACAGGTTAAGTAAAGTGACCATATACTCAGTTCTGCACTAACAACATTTCACACCCACCCACAGAAAATTTGGTCATGCAAACACTCTCCAACTTCCCAGCAGAACCCTACACAAACACTCCTCCAGTCCAGCTTGAGGAGGTCTATGACTACATCGAAAAACTGAAGACCAGAAAGAGCCCTGGCCAAGTATCTAACAAGATGCTCAAAACGATGGGTCTGCATATGTTGCTCAAACTTGCCAAAATCTTAAACTACATGCTAAAGCTCGGTCACTTCGCATAAGTCTGGAAGGTTGCAGTCATCTCACCTCTTTTGAAGCAAGGTAAGCCTCCAGACGACTTTGTATCATACAGGCCCATCAGCCTCTTGCCATCGCTCAGTAAAGTCGCTGAGCATATGATACTAGAAAGCTTACTCAAGCATGTGGAAGAAATTAATATCCTGATCAATGAGCAGCACGGTTTCCGAAGGAAACACTCTACTGTTCAGCAATTGTACCGTGTAACGGAGTTAATTTCCAAGAACATGCAAGAAAAATCTATCACCGCTGCTCTGTTTCTCGGTGTGGTCAAGGCGTTCGATCGCGTATAGCTTGGGGGTTTACTCCACAAACTCATTAACCTGGAAATACCAGGCTACATCACCAACATCTTACGTTCTTACCTTATGGGTCGACAATTTGTCGTTTGTGTCAACAACACATTATCCACCCCCAGACCTACCCAGGCTGAGGTCTCCCAGGGATCCCTTCTCGGGCCCCTTTTATTCAATCTTTACACGAATGACATCCCACAGACACCTTACACAACACTCGCACTCTATGAAGATGACACTGCAATTCTTTACAAGTGCATCTTTAGATCGTCATACAAACACAAGACCACATTCATGCAATGGATCCTGGCTAATGGCCTGAAGATACAAATTAATGTACAAA